GAAAGTGTTGAATGATGATGAAAGTATTTTCTTTTTGGGGATTTTCTTTCTTTTTTTTTTTGGGTCACCCTGCCTCGGTGGGAAACGGCCAACTTGTTAAAAAAAAAAAAAAAATATGTATTACTGTAATAATAATAATAATAATTATTATTATTATTATTATTAATTTAGGGCACTGGAGCACAGATCCACTGTACAGCACTTTATCTGGATTTTTTGGGTTATCCTAGGTAATTTATACTATGTATGATAACTTCACTTACATGTACCTGTGTGTGTGTGTGTGTGTGTGTGTGCGAGAGAGAGATACAGAGAGAGAGAGAGAGATACAGAGAGAGAGAGATACAGAGAGAGAGAGAGAGAGAGATACAGAGAGAGAGAGAGAGAGAGATACAGAGAGAGAGAGATACAGAGAGAGAGAGAGAGATACAGAGAGAGAGAGATACAGAGAGAGAGAGATACAGAGAGAGATACAGAGAGAGAGAGAGAGAGATACAGAGAGAGATACAGAGAGAGAGATACAGAGAGAGAGATACAGGGAGAGAGATACAGAGAGAGAGAGAGAGATAGAGAGAGAGAGATAGAGAGAGAGAGAGATACAGAGAGAGAGATACAGAGAGAGAGAGATACAGAGAGAGATATACAGAGAGAGAGAGATATATACAGAGAGAGAGAGAGAGATACAGAGATAGAGAGATACAGAGATACAGAGAGAGAGAGAGAGAGAGAGATAGAGAGAGAGAGGGAGAGATAGAGAGGAGAGAGATACACAGAGGAGAGAGAGAGATACACAGAGAGAGAGAGAGAGATACAGAGAGAGAGAGAGAGAGATACAGAGAGAGAGAGAGAGAGATACAGAGAGAGAGAGATACAGAGAGACAGAGAGAGATACAGAGAGAGAGAGAGATAAAGAGAGAGAGAGAGAAAGATACAGAGAGAGACAGAGAGAGACCAGGTGTGGCACCAGGGCCTCTTAGCAAAACTTCAAGCACTGGGAATTGCAGGCTCTACGCTACATCTCCTCAGTGATTACCTTCATGGTAGATCTCTAAGCGTAGTTCTCAATGGAACGGAATCAGCAAGACATCCTATTGGGGCAAGTGTTCCACAAGGAAGCGTGCTGGGACCACTGTTATGGAATGTCTATTTCAACAACCTTCTTTATCTCATCCCAGAATCACATGCATATGCAGACGACTGTACACCGACATTCACTTATCCAAGAGAAGAAATGCCAGCTGCTCTAAGCTACATCAATCACCAGCTGAGAGCTATATCAGCTTGGGGAAATAGATGGCAAGTAACATTTGTACCTGAGAAAACGCAAATGATTGTCTCTAGGCACCATGATGGTAATGCTGGTGCAGTAGTAAGGATGAATGGGAGGGTGTTGGCACCTGGAGAAGTTGATATCCTTGGGGTGAAATTTGACTCCAAACTAACCATGAAGAACCATGTTGTAAATCTTGCAAACAAGGCAGCCAGGAAGCTTACAGCACTTCGCCGTATCTCGCATCTACTTGACAGTAGGGGTTGCAAGATTCTGTACAAGGCACAAGTATGTTCACACCTTGAGTATGCTCCACTTTCTTGGTTTGCCTGCCCCCCCCCCATCTCATCTGCGACTGCTTGACAGAGTAGAGAACAGAGCAAGACGTCTCATCTCTCGCCTGGACCCATCCTGGATAGATCTGTCATTTCAGCAGAGCCTTCAACATAGGAGGGATGTGGGTGGCCTTACTGTTATGTACAAGGCCAATATTGTCAAAGTACCACACTTGGATCCACTTCGAGGACAGCGTGAAACAAGCTTTTATGCCACAAGATGGGCAGAAAGCAGCAACTTCACTCTGGCTGTACCCTTCTCCAGAACATCACTCCATCTGAGATCATATATACCCAGGATGACTCAAGTATGGAACACATTCGTACAGCATAATGATGTCAACGAGATAATGTCAGTTGATCAAATGAAATTGCTGGCCCACAGATGGCTCCAATTTCATCCTGTTCCCTACCTGTATGTCTCATAACAATAAAAATGCTTTCAAATGAGCTGATGTAGGTAACAGCTCTTAGCTTGCCAATAAAGTTAGGAATCCTTAACCTGTAAATAGCTTGTCAATAAAGCTAGGGATCCTTAACCTTGTGAAACCCTGTGTAAAAAAAAAGAGAGAGATACAGAGAGAGAGAGATACAGAGAGAGAGAGAGAGATACAGAGAGAGAGATAGAGAGAGATACAGAGAGAGAGAGATACAGAGAGAGAGAGAGAGATACAGAGAGAGAGAGAGATACAGAGAGAGAGAGAGATACAGAGAGAGAGAGAGAGATATACAGAGAGAGAGAGAGAGATACAGAGAGAGAGAGATACAGAGAGAGAGAGAGATACAGAGAGAGAGAGAGATACAGAGAGAGAGAGATACAGAGAGACAGACAGCCACATTCAGTCAGCCACCCACCCACCCACTCACCCACCCGGCCAGCCAGCCAGATACGTATTACACATGTTCCAGAGTTGTTTCTCTTTACTTAGGGTATAGGTTATACTACATTCTGGCAGGATGACACTACCAGTGGTATTCTCCCATTCCACTGTGTCGACAATACATAAAGATAACAGTAACATATGATACTGTATGCGATGTAAAATTTACAATACAGTTCACTACCATGTATACATTATATGCAGTACATAAATAATTAAAATATAACAACAGAAGTAAATTATGGTAAAAAGAATGAAATAATGATTGTACATTACAGTACAGTGGACTTCCGCATAACGATATTAATCCGTTCCTGAGAGCTCATTGTTATGCGAAATTATCGTTATGCGAATGAATTTTCCCCATAAGAAATAATGGAAATCAAATTAATCCGTGCAAGACACCCAAAAGTACGAAAAAAAAAAATTTTACCACATGAAATATACATTTTCCTACACACAAAGAGAAGGATACATGCACAATAGTAGAGTAGTACATGCACAATATATAATGTGCATGTACTACTCTACTAAATGAAGAATAAATGACACTTACCTTTATTGAAGATGCAGCAATGACTGATGAGACACTGTGTCCTGGGAGTGCCTTTTCCTCCTGAGTACTGTAGGTCCTGTTTGGCATTTTCTTCCAGAACAGGCCTTATCACACTGTGTATGCCACTATGATTCTTAAATCTCTCAAACCAACCTTTGCTGGCTTTAAATTCACCAATATGAGCACTAGTTCCAGGCATTTTTCCCTGTTCACCTGGGTGTTAGTCGACTGGTGTGGGTTGCATCCTGGGAGACAAGATTAAGGACCCCAATGGAAATAAGTTAGACAGTCTTCAATGACACTGACTTTTTTGGGTTATCCTGGGTGGTTAACCCTCTGGGGTTAATTTTTTCTTGGTATTCTCAATAAGCCACACCAACAACGGTGCTACAGCAGCAGCAGCAGCAGCAGCAGCAGCAGCTGACAATGCTACAGCAGCAGCAGCAGCTGACAGTGCTACAGCAGCGGCAGCATACGGTGCTACAGCAGCAGCAGACAGTACTACAGCAGCAGCAGCAGCAGCAGCAGCAGCAGCAGCTGACGGTGGTACAGCAGCAGCAGCAGCTGACGGTGGTACAGCAGCAGCAGACGGTGCTACAGCAGCAGCAGACGGTACTACAGCAGCAGCAGCAGCTGATGGTGGTACAGCAGCAGCAGCAGCTGACGGTGCTACAGCAGCAGCAGCAGCAGCTGACAGTGCTACAGCAGCAGCTGACAGTGCTACAGCAGCAGCAGATGGTGCTACAGCAGCAGCAGACAGTACTACAGCAGCAGCAGCAGCTGATGGTGGTACAGCAGCAGCAGCAGCATCAGCAGTTGACCATGGTACCACAGTATTTCGATAATATTTCTCACCCTTTTTACCACAGGGTTGGCACTAGAAGCTTTCTTGGGGCCAATGGTCACTTATTTTGCAGATAAAATCAACAAAAACGCTGTAATAATACGAAATGTTCCGATTGTATGCTTGGATGTTACCGCGGAGGCTGGCTGGTAAACAATGCCACCGGCGGAACATGTGAGGCTGGCTCAGGCCGCACATTAGACGCGTCTCGGACAAATAGCGTTCTAGTGGGGTTTTTAGCGGTATGCGAGGCAAAATCTTAGCGATAAAATGTATCGGTATGCGGATTTAACGTTATGTGATGCCAACGGTATGCAGGGGTCCACTGTACTATGTAGGTAGTTTATATAGGAAAAGTTTGACATTATGCCCTACCCAGTACGTCGGCAATTTTCAAAGGTTCGACTTATGTCCATTTTGACTTACGACCGGTTGGTCGGAACCAAGCTTGGTTGTAAGTCGGATGGTAGGTGTACTTCTTTTTGAAAATTAGAAAAATATTCCCAGGTGTAATAAAAAAATTTGCATTTGAAGTATTCATAAATTCTAAATTTTAGAAAATACAGCCTTTCCTCACTTAATGACGGAGTTCAGTTCTTAAAACCAGGTTGGTAAACTAATTTGTCACTAAGCAAGGAGCATACTATAAAGGTGGTGGTTTGTGTCAACCACCTTTGATATTGTTTTAATGTCACCTTTGCACCAATTATAACAAATTTTAGTACATTTTTAAATACTTATACAGTAGTGTATTGTATACTGTAATAAACAGAATAGAGAAAATCAGCTCTAATATACATTATTTAGGTATGCATACTGGTCAGAGAGCCCGTCTTAAGTCCGAGTCATCGGGAAACAAGTATGTCGCTAAGTGAGGAGAGGCTGTATTAAAAATTAAACATCCTGAAAAGTATTCTCTCCTGGAAAATTCTAAATTTTAAGTGTTTACTATTTCATATTGGTAGTTTTTGGTCTTGTATGGAAAATCCTGAATTCACTATCACAGACCATTTTGAATATAAAATATTTATTAAATATATCTGGGAAAATTTAGAATGGCAACAGAGTTCCAAATAAGAGAAATATTACTGTACTGCATAATCATTTGTCTTACTGAATGAGCCCATCCAGCATATTCTCCAAATACATTTCGAAAGTGATCAGCAATTTCATGATAAACTTTCTCAGTAACAGTTTTGCAGGTGCGTAGATGAGGCAGGTAGTCTCTAGCAGCGATTTGAAATACATGGGTGTCAACAGGAATGGCACTTAGATGACCCATAGACATAAGGCAGATGCAGTCACTCACCTGCAAAACATTAAGCAATTTATTTCTCAACATTTTTTTTTGTACATCAGAGAAAATAAATGCAAATATTATTCAAGATTTTATAATGTAAAATGTCACATGTACCCCTTGGGTTTATAAAACACCTTTCCCAGTAACTCAAGAAAAGGAAATCAAGCAATGGCATGTTGAATTGTTTGGTCAATTTTCAGGTTTTTCTCCCTGATAAAGAAGAGTGCATAATATACAGGTAGTATCAAGCTATGATTGATTGATTGAACCAACCTACCTACCTCCCTCTCTCCATACCTCCCTCACACACACACACATGCATACATGCACACACACACACACGCACGCACACACGCATGCGCACATGCGCACGCACACTCATGCGCGCACACACACACACACAGGCCAGGAGCTATGACTCGACCCCTGCAACCACAAATAGGTGAGTACATGCGTGTACACACACACAAACACGCGCGCGCGTGTGCGCACGCACGCACGCACACACACCACACACACACACACACACACACACACACACCCCACACACTCACACTCACACACTCACACACTCACACTCACACACTCACACTCACACTCACACACACACACTCACACCACACCTCACACTCACACACTCACACTCACACACACACACACACACTCACACACACTCTCACACTCACACACTCACACTCACATCACACACACACACACTCTCACACTCACACACTCACACTCACCCCACACTCACACACCCCACCTCACACTCAACACACACATCACACACACACACTCACACTCACACACTCACACTCACACACACACTCACACACTCACACACACTCTCACACTCACACACTCACACTCACACTCACACACACACCACACTCTCACACTCACACACTCACACTCACTCACACTCACACTCACACTCACACACACACACTCACACACTCACACTCACACACACACACTCACACACACTCTCACACTCACACACTCACACTCACACACACACACACTCTCACACACTCACACTCACACACTCACACACTCACACACACTCACACTCACACACTCACACACTCACACACACTCACACACTCACACTCACACACTCACACTCACACACACACTCACACACACACTCACACACACTCACACTCACACACACACTCACACACTCACACTCTCACACTCACACACCCACGGGGCCAGGAGCTTGGACTCGACCCCTGCAACCTCAACTAGGTGAGTACACACACAAAATAAATGTAAAGCAAACAGTAGTATTCAAAAGAGTTATTTACTGTATATAATGTCTATTATAAGCATATACTGCTGGATTGTATATTGTACAAACCCTACTGAATGTATACAATTAGTTACTGATGTCCTTAAGCAGAATTGGCTAAAGTGACAATTACAGTAGGGCCCCACTTATCCAGCAGGTTAGGTTCCAGGCTACCACTGGAAAGCAGAACACCATTTTTTCCACTTATAAATGCATATAAATGCCAGATAACAAGTTTGCACTAATATATATTAAGTTAGCAATAGAACTAGGCATTAAAAACAATAAAAAGTGTACACACAGTACACACATTACTTACCTTACACCAATGGAAATAAGTCACTCTGACTTTTCTGGGTTATCCTAGGTTCTCTACACATATGCTGCTATGATAATTGATGTAACTGTATTTATGTATACCTGAATAAACTTACTTACTAGTCTTAATGTAGGATGAGAGGTGAGTGGTATTTATTGTAAGAAGTCAGGTGTGGGATGCATGGTAGCCATCAGGCCAGGCCACCCCACTCACGCATAATATACTACGACATTTAAAGTGACCTAGAGCAATAAAATGCATATACAGTACACTCATTACTTACTTTAAAATATTTGTAGTTTTAGTGTAGGGTGAGAGGTGAGTAAACGAGGTAAAACGAATAAACGAAAGAGAGAGAGAGAGAGAGAGAGAGAGAGAGAGAGAGAGGACAGAGAGAGAGGAGAGAGAGAGAGAGAGAGAGAGATACAGAGAGATACAGAGAGAGAGAGAGAGAGACAGAGACAGAGAGAGAGAGAGAGAGAGAGGGAAAAGAGAGAGAGAGAGAGAGAGAGAGATAAGAGAGAGAGAGGAGAGAGAGAGACAGAGAGAGACAGAGAGAGAGAGAGAGAGGGGGAGAGAGAGAGAGACAGAGAGAGAGACAGAGAAGAGAGAAGAGAGAGAGACAGAGAGAGAGAGAGACGAGAGAGGAGAGAGAGAGAGAGAGAGAGAGATGAGAGAGAAGAGAGAGAAGAGAGATAGGAGGAGAGAGAGAGGAGAGGAGAGAGAGAGAGGGAGGAATACGAACAAAGAAACACATTCCTCACCGGCATATGTGACAAAGCCACAGTCAGCCTTTGGTTTGGCTTTCGTTGTAGAGAGGTGCTACTGCTAAGTACAAAGCATGGCGAAGGTATAAGGACATCCTACCACTATAAACAGGAAACTTGCACATGCAAGTGTAGGATATGGGTTATGTTCAAAAGTGGGCCTTTCTAAATGGGAAGGTGGACACCCAAAAGAAAGTTGCATCAGGGTAGGGTAGGCTCCAAAAACTGGTGTCCCTGGTCAAGGACAGACAAGGGTATCTGCCCGATGAATATTCCATCTCTAAATCGACAGGATGGGACCACCTCTACTAGTAGTCAAGAGAAGGCGGACCTCTTGCTGAACACTTTGCTACCACAATGCAAGTTCCTGATCAGCAAGGGACCCTCCTTGGCTAGCTGCAAGACTGTGCAGAACTGTGTCAAAACTGTCAGTGGTGACATAAGGCAGGAGGAGGTGCATTTCCTTCTTAAATCACTTGACCAGGAAAAGGCTGTGGGCAGACAAGTTGAGCCCAGATTGTTGAGAAGATGTGCAGAGCAGTAGCAGCACCTCTAACTCGCATCTTAGCTGCCTTTTG